TTTGTCTTACATGTACCTAGTAATGTAATTAATTTTGGAGTTACGTCTTAAATTGTTATCCTGGAGATGTGCTGAAGTGGAAGTTCTGGAGTTTTGTTTTGAGCTGTGTATTACTTGTAAATTTTGAGTTTTTATTTCTTATAAATCTTGAGTTTAATATTGTGCAAAATGACGGACATATGTTTTCACTTTTTATGACTATCCTATCAGTCTAACAACCTAAGAACTATTTTCCCCAGATTACTGTACTCCTAATAAACATTGTCTCACATTACCTGTTGAGTATACACAGAACAACACACCAGAAAACTATTCATAAAATATATTTCATAATTGAAAATTACATGTTTTCTTATGAACATATATATAATAAATATTTATATAAATTATGCATGTACATCATAAATTCACCGATTAACAAATAACAAAAACAATCATCACCTTGGCACATTCAAATACAAAACAAGAGGCTCAGAGGGCCTGTATCGCTCACCTAAATATGTTTAAAATAACTGGTATGAAGTAGGTGCTGTAAGTACATATGAAATTTCACAAAGATCCATCCAGTACTTGAGATAAAGCGAGAACAAACTTCGGACAGAGCCCCACCCCTATATGCAACCTAGGGTGTGTGTGTGTGTGTGTGTCATACCCACCAATCATACAAAATTGAGTCCCCTTGACCCAAGGATACTCCAGACTAAATAAGGATAAAATCCCATAATCCCGATGGTCGAAGAAGGATTTTAAAGATTTTACCGCTATTTCCTCTATTGGGCCCTGCCCCTCAGGTCCAAGGGGGGCCACACTAAAATTGGTTCCCCTTCACCGAAGGTTGCTTTAGACCAAATATGGAACAAATCTTTTCATTCCTACAGAAGAAGAAGGATTTTAAAGAATAATTTGCTATGTTTCCCCTATTGGGCCCTGCCCCTCAGGCCCCTGGGGGGCCACACCTAAGGTTTATACAAAATTGGTTCCCCTTCACCCAAGGTTGCTTTAGACCAAATACGAAACAAATCTTTTCATTCCTACAGAAGAAGAAGGATTTTAAAGAATTTGCTATATTTCCCCTATTAGGCCCCACCCCTCAACCCCCAGGGGGACCAGACCCACTGTTTATATAAAATTGGTTCCCCTTTACCCAAGGATGCTCCACACTAAATATGGACCAATTCCTTTTAGTCCTACGGAAGAAGAAGGATTTTAAAGAATAATTTGGTATGTTTCCCCTATTGAGCCCCTGGGGGGGGGCAGACCCACGGTTTATACAAAATTGGTTTCCCTTCTCCCAAGGATGCTCCACACCAAATATGGACCAAATCCTTTCATTCCTTCAGACGAAGAATTTTAAAGAATAATTTGCTATGTTTCCTCTATTGGGCCCCGCCCCTCAGCCCCAAGGGGGGCCACACCTAAGGTTTATACAAAATTGGTTCCCCTTCACCCAAAGTTGCTTTTGACCAAATTTGGTCAAAATCTGCTCAGTTGTTCATGACAAGTAGCGTTTTAAAGGAAAAGTTGACGGACGGACAGACGGACGACGGACGCTGCGGTATGGCATAAGCTCACCATGGTTGTTCGGACCAGGTGAGCTAAACAAGAGGCCCAGAGGGCCTGTATCGCTCACCTGTTTCTTTTGTTACATGCAACTGACATATAAGTAACTTAAGACCATTTGGTAACTAGAACACAAGACATTTTAACATCTCTTAAATGATTCTGACGGTTCTGAAGATATTGTTGTTTGAAACTTAAAATTTTAATTTTAAAGCTTTTAACCAAAGTTGACATTTGAATCTCGATTTGCACTTAAAGTTGACCTTTGACCTCATTACTGTAATGAAGAAAACAATTCACACGGCTGGTCTACATAACAAACCTAAGTATCATGACTAGTCCAAATGGTTCTTAGGATATTGTTGTTTGAAATTTTTAACATATTTGACCCCTGTGACCTTCAAAGCAGGTCTAGGTCTTTTTAATGAGGAAACTTTATAGCACCACATCCCAGGTACTTACTGGCCAAATATCATGACCCTGGGCCTTTTGGAACTTGAGAAGAAGACTGTTAAAGCTTTTAACCAAAGTTGACATTTGACCCCAAACCAGCACTTAAAGTTGACCTTTGACCTCATAACTGTAACTGAAAAAATATTTGCACTGCTGGTTTACATAAAATACCCAAGTATCATAACTCTAGTTCAAATGGTTCTTAGGATATTGTTGTTTGAAATTTTTAACATATTTAACCGCTGTGACCTTGAAAATAGGTCAAGGTCAATTTAATGAGGAAACTTATAGCACTCCATCCCTCCATCCCAGGTACCTACTAGCAAAATAACATGACCCTGGGCCTTATGGAACTTGAGAAGAAGATTGTTAAAGCTTTTAACCAAAGTTGACATTTGACCCCTGACTAGCATTTAAAGTTGACCTTTGACCTCATTACTGTAATTAAGAAAAATATTTGCACTGCTGGTCTACATAACATACCCAAGTATCATGACTCTAGTTCAAATAGTTCTTAGGATATTGTTGTTTGAAATTTTTAACATATTTGACCGCTGTGACCTTGAAAGTAGGTCAAGGTCATTTCAATAAGGAAACTTTATAACACTCCATCCCAGGTACCTACTGACCAAATATCATGACCCTAGGTCCTACAGTTCTTCTTCAGAAGTCGTTCAAAAGAAAAAGTTGACGGACGGACGGCGGACGACGGATGCCGCAGTACAGCATAAGCTCACATGGCCCTCCGGGCCAGGTGAGCTAAAAATGTTGAAATAGAACTGCTTAAAAATTCTGAATATTGCTGGAACATAACTCACCTAATAAACTCCCAATCCTTTATAAACACCCCACCCCCACCCGGGATGCTTATTATATTATTTTTACAATAAATACGGGAATGCCTTGTGTGGAATGATTTCTTAATTACAACACCTGACATGTGGAAGTGACAGTACAACCTGCCTTTACAAAACATGTCCAAGCTAAACACCATTTTTAAACAGTTTGTTGATTTAAACACGTCATATTGCAAAGCGTTTATTTCCATGTCATAATGTTGTTTATAACGATATATTATCTCCGATACTATACATACCAACATAGTCGTGTCACAGAAATATTTGGTAGTAAAGCAGTACCTACTGACATCTATATTCAACAAATAGCATTCATGTTTGTCAGTATTCAAACAGAAATACTCAAAAGAAATGCATTGCCTACTGATGATTCCTGTATTCAATGAAGTGAATACACAAAACATGTATCGAACAAACAAAACTATTTAACAAAAATTTCAGTAACAATTGGTCATCAGTCATTCAACAGAAATGTTTACACAACAGAAATATTGACAGGAAACAAATAGTTGATATTCAATAATTCCTTACATAAGAATTCAATACCCGACATCATTCTCTTGAATAGAATAATCAAAGATGTAATATACAAACGTTCAGACAAGCCCTACTCTGAAGTTAACCTATTTACTCTTAATCCCATTAATAAGATTTTCCAGCCTTTATTCTCACCATTGATCTCGGCCATGTAGACTCTAAAACAAGATCAAGGTTGCTATTCAAAAGGCAGGCATTTCATGTTTGCAAGAATCTAGCGAGCATAAAACGCAAAATCCTTTAATGTTACGTTTTGCCCCGAGGATGTATAGAGCATGCAAAGGGTACATCAACACCCGATCATGCGGCACACTACACAAGCCTCGTCCCGCTCACAACCATCACGGTATTGAGGCTATTAATTATATATAGATCCATTAATCCTACCTCTTTGATTTAGTCACAAAGTCACTCATAAAATTAACACTAATTAATGAGTAGCTCTGTTCCTGAATCTCTCAGATCTTTATGCGTTTTTAAAAACTACTTAAACAGCAACACTATGTGGCCAGAATGTTGGTCATATTATGTTGATTTTGTGCTCCCACGCGTAGCAAGCAAGCAGGCAATAACAATTACGATACAGATAATAGGTCTGCATCAGACTAGAGATTATACCATATATCATCCAGCCTCCTACTTTGATTGAGGTTAAATAATGTATAGATGATTAAGTTTCCTTTCTTTGATCTGGTGCTGAATTATTTCTCAGGTGTCATATATGTTGATACATCAAATTTGACTATGTAGACACAAACACACTGAAGTAATACCAAGCAATACACATTCCCAGCTATGATACGGCCTAGTCACACTTCACAGGGTATCTTTAAAGTCTCATCAAGTAATATTCTGTTAGTCCAAACAAGGATTATATTAATTATTTAATCTCTTCAGTTATAAGTGTAGTACAAGTCGCTCTATCTTATCATGACGGACATTCTCACACCTAGTGTTAAATCATGTTTTATGGTTCCGAGTGTCTGGTCCAGATAATTATATTATTAACATCGGTTATTATTGGTAAGACCTTCACTTTGGTGTAGAGGTTAAGAGTGCTATGTGACACACTGTCATGAAACATCCATCTATGAAGTGTCTGCAAATTGACTTCCAGACACTCCGATATTATTGCCTGGATAAGTATTTCAATATTATTTGACCTTTGACCCTTTTGCGTGACATTGAATTTGAGTGCTGTACAGCACAGCCTATCGTTATACTTTCACCAATAAAGCATTATAAAATATTCAGCAATTTAGAAGTTATAGCCTGAACAAGAATTAAAATATTATTTGACCCTTTGCTGTAACCTTGACTTTGAGTGATACACAATGTCTTATCATGATACATTCACCCATAAGAAGTTACTGCCCGGGACAAGAAGACCGCGGGATGGACTTCCTAATGTTGGTGTAGAGGCTAATAGTGCTGGGATGAGTGTTATCATATAGCCCTGTCTTATGGGTTACCGGGGCCGTTTTGTTTAAACAGTTGAACTGGTCGGACCACAGTTGTTCGTTTATTAAATAAGGTCGGACCTAGTAATCTGATGCTGCTTTCAGGTGAGCCTTGACGAAGCCTTGCAAGGCCTGCATAAACATTTGCAGCTCCGCCAGGATTTCTACCCGAAATTGTTACATTTACATTTAAACATATTCTTTGTACCGATATATGGTGTCATTGAGTTAATGGAAGCTTCGAATATACTAGTAGATACATAGCGAGAGTTTCAAATTATACAGAATGTCGTTACCAACAGTCACAATCTTGTTTACAGTGTCTTTGTTTCTCCTCCGACTTATAGATTTTTCTTCAGGAAAACCAGGAAGATTTTATGATACTTCTGGAAACAATATGGTACATTTTTGTCATTGTTAAGCTGAATTGTATTGCTAGTTATGATAACACACAGATATAATGAGTGTCAATTTTCAAACCTTTGACACCTGAAACTTCCTATGTCAACCATCACATCCCCTAATGATTGTATATAATGACGTATGTTGGTACAAATTGATACAAACATTAATAGGGTGGGCCTCGTTTACTCTGATGGTCGGTAAATACCATATTTAATCCTCGTTAACTCTGACATTCTGTCAAACAAATACGAAGTTCTTCTGTTTGACAATATACAATAGCACAGGACTGACTAATCATCTACTCAATATTTTTTACCGCCATGTTTTTACTTGCCAGCCGGAAAAACTCTGACGGTAAAAGGCATATTTTATAAGCATTTATATATATATATTTGTCGACCAACCAAATAATCACACACATCACTCATTTTTCCACAACCTTGATCACTACTGATACTGATACAACTGGTCATGTGACAGGGACTACTCTTTTCAACAAAAAATAACTATGTGACATTTTCTTTGACATTTTCAGGTTGGTAAGAAACAATTGGTCTTGCACATCCTGCCCATTAACAAACTTAACTAATTTTCGGCTGGAAAAACAGGTAGATGAACTGCGGCTTAACCAAAATGATTGGTTTTACCCTTTGTCCTCTGATTGCAACCTTGACTCTTCCTAATTCATTTTTTCTTAAAATATACCAGTCCACAGAACTAAGCATCAGATCGACAGGTCTATAGTTAACAATGGAACTGTCACTGTGCTGTGACATGTCCTGGAACGAGTTACCTTCAGAAACCTGTAGTACTAATGGAACATTTTCAATAGCACAACAAAACAATACCCCAGGATTGGTGACCTATGCTGAGAAGAGTCATGTTTGTTGGGATAGGTTGATTTTTCAGAAAGACCTGGGTCTGATCCATGATGAACAGAAATATGATACAGGTAAAATAATGGTTCAACATCACAGAGAATTGAATCTAATTGTAAACAGAAAGGTGAGGCAGGTCTAGGAACATGTTCAGTTCAAAGAGACCTGAGTCTGATACATGATGTACAGAAAGTGGGTGTAGACGCAAGAACATGTCTATGGACACAAAAATGATACAGGCTCTTTGACTGGTTCATTTTGCTATAAAAGGTAATACAGGCACTAGGAATGGTCCATTATATAGAATAACAGGAAGTACCAGAGGACTCTTCCATTACTCCACACAGTGAGAGGAAGCCACTTATCTACAATACCTGGAAAGGTGAGGAAGACCCCAGAAACAGCACACTAATTCCTCTATAAGAGCATGTCATGATTAGTCCACTTTGTCTAGGGAGGTGAAGTAGGTCCGAGGACTGGTACACCATTGCTAGTGAGGTAAAGTAGGTCCTACAACTCACTGAACTGGACCCGCCAATACCAGGAAGGTGAAGTAGCATGTACAACCGTTCCACCATGCCATGGGATATGTGGTAGATCAAATGACTTGTTCACCATGCCAAGAGAGGTAAGATAGGTCCTACGACTGTTCCACTATGACCAGGTGGGTGATTTAGGATGTACGACTGGTCCACTATGACCAGGTGGGTGATGTAGGATGTACGACTGGTCCACTATGCCTAGGGAGGCAAAATGGGTCATATAACTGGTAAGTACTTTGACTGGTCCATCGAGCCTAGGGAGGTAAAGTAGATAATCTGACTGGTCCATCATTACCAGGAAAGTGAAGTAGGTCCTATGACTGGTCCACCAAGCCTAGGGAGGTAAGGTAGGTCCTATGACTGGTCGTCCTATGACTGGTCCACCATGCCTAGGGAGGTGGGGTAGGTCCTACAACTTGTCCACCATGCCTAGGGAGGTGGGTAGGTCCAAAGACTAGTCCATCATGCCTAGGGGGGTGAGGTAGGTCCTAAGACTAGTCCACCATGCCTAGGGAGGTAAAGTCGGTCCAAAGACTAGTCCACCATGCCTAAGGAGGTAAAGTCGGTCCTAAGACTGGTCCACCATGCCTAAGGAGGTAAAGTCGGTCCAAAGACTGGTCCACCATGCCTAGGGAGGTAAAGTCGGTCCAAAGACTGGTCCACCATGCCTAGGGAGGTAAGGTAGGTCCTATGACTGGTCCACCATGCCTAGGGAGGTAAAGTCGGTCCAAAGACTGGTCCACCATGCCTAGGGAGGTAAAGTCGGTCCAAAGACTGGTCCACCATGCCTAGGGAGGTTAAGTAGGTCCAAAGACTGGTCCACCATGCCTAGGGAGGTAAGGTAGGTCCTATGACTGGTCGTCCTAAGACTGGTCCACTATGCTGAGGGAGGTGAGGTAGGTCCTACAACTTGTCCACCATGCCTAAGGAGGTAAAGTAGGACCTAGGACTGGTCCACCATGATAAGGGAGGTAATGAAGGTCCTAGGACTGGTCCACCATGCCTAGGGAGGTGAGGTAAGCCAGTGCTGTCTGCAGTGAAGTCAAGCAGTAACCTTCTTCCCCCATTATGTACCTAAAATAAATAACATAAAAAATGTGAAATAGATAGAGAGATTATATCACAATTAGTTCAGAAGTATTGACATTTAATTAATTTTAACACGTGAGTCTTGTGTAATGCAGGATAAATGCCCATGCCAAGGTTTGTAACTAGTGTAGCATGATGTTTTATTTCTAACAGGTGCTGCAATCATCACATCACAATTAAAACAAGAGGCCCAGGGGCCTTAATAGCTCACCTGGTATTTTATTTTTCAATTTAAAACCTGCTGAGTACCATACAGGCTTATCAAAGGAGTACATGAAACATGGTTGCAAGAAGAACTACATATAAATCTGTTTTGGTGGGAAAGACACCAAGAAAATGAGTTTCCATGTTATGTCCCAATTTTCCTCTATTTCCCCTATTGTGCCTCACATGCACTTTTTTATACAAATTAAACAAATTGAGTTTTTTCCCCCTAAGCATGCTTCAGACCACATTTGGGGGGGGGGGGGACATCTTCCATTTAAAAATATTCAATTCCCTTTGCCGAAAAATTCTCCAGAACAAGTTTGGTTAAAATCCCTTTAATGGTACAGAAGGAGAGAAGGATCTTTAATGTTTTCCTCTATTTCCTCTAATGGGCCCCACCCATCTGTCCCAAAGAAGGGGGTACACACACCTCAGTTTATACAAAATTGATTCTTTTGTCCCTAAGCATGCTTCAGACTGCAATTGGTTTAAATCCCTTCACTTGTATAGTAGGAGAAAAAAATTCCTCTATTTCTCCTATTGGGCCCCGTCCCTACGCCCCCAGAGGAGCCACACCCTCCATTTAAACAAACTTGAGGCTCCTTTGTCCAAAGATGCTCTAGAACAAATTTGGTCAAAATCCTTCTATTGGTTAAGAAGAAGAAGATTTTTAAAGATTTACTTATTTCTGAAGATAGGTTTTAGAGGAATAGTAACACATCATGTAGATAGGTTTTAGAGGAATAGTAATACATCATGTAGATAGGTTTTATAGGAGTAGTAACACATCATGTAGATAGGTTTTAGAGGAATAGTAACACATCATGTAGATAGGTTTTAGAGGAATAGTAGCACATCGTGTAGATAGGTTTCATAGGAGTAGTAACACATCATGTATATAGGCTTTATAGGAGTAGTAACACATCATGTATATGGGTTTTATAGGAGTAGTAACACATCATGTAGATAGTTTTTATAGGAGTAGTAACACATCATGTAGATAGTTTTTATAGGAGTAGTAACACATCATGTAGACAGGTTTTATAGGAGTAGTAACACATCATGCTCTAGAACAAATTTGGTCAAAATCCTTCTATTTGTTAAGAAGAAGAAGATTTTTAAAGATTTACTTATTTCTGAAGATAGGTTTTAGAGGAATAGTAACACATCATGTAGATAGGTTTTAGAGGAATAGTAGAACATCGTGTAGATAGGTTTTATAGGAGTAATAACACATCATGTATATAGGTTTTATAGGGGTAGTAACACATCATGTATATAGGTTTTAGAGGAATAGTGAAACATCGTGTAGATAGGTTTTATAGGAGTAGTAGCACATCATGTATATAGGTTTTAGAGGAATAGTAGCACATCGTGTAGATAGGTTTCATAGGAGTAGTAACACATCATGTATATAGGGTTTATAGGAGTAGTAACACATCATGTAGATAGGCTTTAGAGGAATAGTAGCACATCGTGTAGATAGGGTTTATAGGAGTAGTAACACATCATGTAGACAGGTTTTATAGGAGTAGTAACACATCATGTAGATAGTTTTTATAGGAGTAGTAACACATCATGTAGATAGTTTTTAGAGGAATAGTAACACATTGTGTAGATAGGTTTTGGAGGAATAGTAACACATCATGTATATAGGTTTTATGGGAGTAGTAACACATCATGTATATAGGTTCTATAGGAGTAGTAACACATCATGTATATAGGTTGTATAGGAGTAGTAACACATCATGTATATAGGCTTTAGAGGAGCAGTAACACATCATGTATATAGGTTTTATAAGAGTAGTAACACATCATGTATATAGGTTTTATGGGAGTAGTAACACATCATGTATATAGGTTGTATAGGAGTAGTAACACATCGTGTAGATAGGTTTTAGGAGTAGTAACACATCATGTATATAGGCTTTATAGGAGTAGTAACACATCATGTATATGGGTTTTATAGGAGTAGTAACACATCATGTGTGTAGGTTTTATAGGAGTAGTAACACATCGTGTAGATAGGTTTTAGGAGTAGTAACACATCATGTATATAGGTTGTATAGGAGTAGTAACACATCATGTATATATGTTTTATAGGAGTAGTAACACATCATGTAGATAGTTTTTATAGGAGTAGTAACACATCATGTATGTAGGTTTTATAGGAGTAGTAACACATCATGTAGACAGGTTTTATAGGAGTAGTAACACATCATGTAGACAGGTTTTATAGGAGTAGTAACACATCATGTGTGTAGGTTTTATAGGAGTAGTAACACATCGTGTAGATAGGTTTTAGGAGTAGTAACACATCATGTATATAGGGTTTATAGGAGTAGTAACACATCATGTAGATAGTTTTTATAGGAGTAGTAACACATCATGTATATATGTTTTATAGGAGTAGTAACACATCATGTAGATAGTTTTTAGAGGAATAGTAACACATTGTGTAGATAGGTTTTAGAGGAATAGTAGCACATCGTGTAGATAGGTTTCATAGGAGTAGTAACACATCATGTATATAGGGTTTATAGGAGTAGTAACACATCATGTAGATAGGTTTTAGAGGAATAGTAATACATCATGTAGATAGGGTTTATAGGAGTAGTAACACATCATGTAGACAGGTTTTATAGGAGTAGTAACACATCATGTGTGTAGGTTTTATAGGAGTAGTAACACATCGTGTAGATAGGTTTTATAGGAGTAGTAGCACATCATGTATATAGGTTTTAGAGGAATAGTAGCACATCGTGTAGATAGGTTTCATAGGAGTAGTAACACATCATGTATATAGGATTTAGAGGAGTAGTAACACATCATGTATATAGGTTGTATAGGAGTAGTAACACATCGTGTAGATAGGATTTAGAGGAATAGTGACACATCGTGTAGATAGGTTTTAGAGGAATAGTGGCACATCGTGTAGATAGGTTTTATAGGAGTGATAGGTTTTATAGGAGTAGTAACACATCGTGTAGATAGGTTTTAGAGGAATAGTGACACGTCGTGTAGATAGGTTTTAGAGGAATAGTGACACATCGTGTAGATAGGTTTTATAGGAGTAGTAACACATCATGTATATAGGTTTTATAGGAAATGTGTTGCATACCATCATAAACGAAGCACTTCAATCCTTATATCTTACTATCAAGACAACAACAAAAATTCCCCCCTCATTCAAGCACGTTTTACAGTTATGTGAGATTCTCTGGAAATCAGTCTGTAGGCCGAGGCACATATAATACGCTCAGTATACACACGCATTCACTCCATTTATAGAGTGAAAAATATGCAAATTAGACTGATTAATTGTGGCTAAAACAAGATATTGCAGCATTCACATGTGTGGACCTAATTTCCGGAACCTAATTTGCATGTTTTCCACTCAATGAAACCAAGGAGCATGTTAATATCAAACATGAATAATGTTTGCCTGGAAAGCTGGAAGGTTTTTCCGTAAAGAATTCTGTTTTATATTTCTGGATGGTTTGCTTAGGTTCAAGACATTTGTGACAATCTATTTTATCAAATGGTGGAACAAGCATATTTGTGAGAAAAGTAATAAGTTCCTACATGTATCAAATGTACATCAATATTATTATACAAGATCATGCTAAATCAATTTTTGTATTTCAAATTGTATAGGTTTTGAAAATTCAACATTTTATTGTACTGGAATCTATGATTTAAATGGTCTGTCTGATGACATCAAAGGGATGGGGAAAATTCCCTGTATTTAAAGCTGCAGTGAAAAAACACCTCTATACCAAATGTCAGAAATCAGGAAAGTTACCTTGTATACAATGACAACTTCGTATCTGATGGTTACCAATTCCATAAGGCAACAAGCCTCAATTGGAAACCATTCCAAAATGTCTGCCAAAGTTTGAATTTGACATGCCATAATTTGTCCCCAATTAATTTAATAATATGACAGAAAGAACTGAACACTTTCTAATTCTAAAATATTTACAAGTCCTAGTTATTTCTTTTATGCTTCCTAAACAACATTTTGAATGTAAGGAACTTTTATATTAGTATTTTTATAGCTTGTGCATCGGAAATGTTAATATATAACACCAAATTTATTTGGCCCAGTTATGCTCCTTTCTAAATTTGGTCAAAATCCTGCCGCACATATTTAAGAATTACTAGTTGTCTTCACCACTCTTCCCCTTTTAAGGTCCATTTTAAGTCTCCTTGGGTACCACAACCTTCATATATTCAACATAGAATTCTGTTGACCAGGGATGCTCAATGCCATATTAAGTTAAAATCCCTTTAGCTATTCTCTGCTAGTAGTCTTTTGAAAGGAACAGTTGACGATGTATGGACACCAGATGGTGTGCTAGAAATATTTCTGTAAATTGAAAAGATCTTTCAACCTGTTGCCACAGTAGACACATTATATCCCATCCAACAGCAAAACAGTTTAGTAGGAACAGTTCAGTTATTTCTAAGTCTCACTGTAGTATAGTTAATCCCGAAAGTGTTAGTTTATGTGAACCAGTAGTTATTTCTTAGAGTGTAAGTTTAACTGTAACATTACAGTTATTCCCTAGAGTGTAAGTTTAACTGTAACATTACAGTTATTCCCTAAGTGTAAGTTTAACTATAACAGTACAGTTATTCCTTACAGTGCTAGTTTAACTGTAACAGTACAGTTATTCCCTAGAGTGTTAGTTTAACTATAACAGAACAGTTATTCCCTAAGTGTTAGTTAAACTGTAACAGTACAGTTATACCCTAGAGTGTTAGTTTAACTA